TCCGCCTTCCCCTCCCCTCCCCGGCCTCGCGAGCTCCGGGCGACGCCGACTTCGGCTGGTCCCCGGAAGAGGCCGGGTCCTCCCTCTGCTCAGCCAGGGAATGGTTTCCTCTCAGAGCTTTGTTTCTCCTCCTCCTCCTTCTCCACTTTTCAATCCCACACGCCGCAGCCGCCTCCTGTCATAGCCTCTCAAACCAACATGGCGGCAGTGGCAGCGGCGGCGGCAGCTGCCTGAGCGAGAGTAGGGGAAACGGGGAGAGCACGGGCCCCCCTTCGCAGCCACCGCCCCCGTCCTCGTCCTCCCTCCGCGGACACTAAGTGCGTCACCACGGAGACCACCCTCGAGCATCACGGGAAGTGTAGTCTACGAGGATGGGGGGAGGGAGCCGCCGAATGCGTCCTCGCACGGCTCCGAAGCCACGCCCCCCATAGCAACAGTTGCGAGGAAAGGAAAGCCCCCTTCCCTTGCTTTGGACAAGCTGCTCCCCAGGAGTTAAGTGACACCTGCTACCAGGAGTGCTGTGATCATGAGAATTGTTGGGAGAAAATAATTCTGCACAGAGAAATTCCCTTATGCACAATATGCACACAGAGCTAAAATATGCTGTACCTCCAAGCAGAATAATTCATTTTAATTACAGCACACTCCCCACATCCTGCAATCTCAGTGCATTTTGTAGAGTGATTTCATCTAGGTCTCCTTAACATTACATTTTGAAGAACAAAAGCAATCATTGATTTCCAATAAGGTCACAGAAGTTCAACAGGAACAAGGATCTCATTAAGCAGTGAGAATGCTTGAACGTGTGTTTCCTTGAAGACCCAGGGCCATAAAGCTACAATCAACTTACCTGAAATTACCAAAACTGTACTACATACAACAGTGTTATTTATCAAATCTGTATCAGGAAATAGCTACTACAAACTACATGGGGATTCACCAGTTTACCCATCTGGACCCTAAATTCCATTCTATGTAACTCATAATGTAATTAAAAACCTATATGCCTTGCAGTGATTAGCAAATAGGAGAAAATAATGCCATCGTTGAGAGACCAATCAGATGGACATTTGTGATTTCTGCATTTTGTTCCTAAATCTGAGGTCAACATCTGAATCTCTATTCATATCTCTTAGTCCTTTGACAGAGTACTTTAGAAAGGGCAGTCTCAATCTGACACCTATATATAAATGCCGATGAATTTAGAGTCTGAAAGTCACTGCTCCAACCTACAGCTATGTGACCTCATCGGTAAAATGGTCTTGCCTACCTTCCAGCGGTAAAGTAGGGGTAGTTATGAGGATGAGTTCATGCATGGGAAATAAGTCACTTTGTAAATAATAATGCATCATTTGATATGAAATGTCACTACTCATTCTCTCATTCAGCAAACAAATGTGCCAGGCACTCTGCTAGGCACTAGGAGGTTAAAAATGAGTCGCTGTAGCAAACAGCAGCATCATGTGGCAGAAATGCCAAGGTCTTGGGTTGTCAATGGGGGTTATTACATCCTTGTCTACAGGGCTGTTGAAAAGAGACAGAATCCAGTCACTGTCCTCAGGGAGCTCATTGTCTAGAAGCCTACGTGATTCCCCACAGCAATCTCTCAAGTTGGGTTTCTCATCAGATGGAAACCCACGGGACATTTAGAGTACCTGCCTCTTGAGTAGCCTGGGTGGAGAAATTCCAAACACTCCTAAGGGACTATATCACCCTGAGGAGGATAGATCAAATTCTCCAAAAAACCAAAGGCCAGAAGAGAAGACAGGCCCAAATCTCACTGTGATTAGGCTTCAGACTTTGTCTAGATATTTCCAAGTCCATAGTTACATGATTTTCCATGGCCTTTGTTATTTGGTAGCTCATTTGCCATATTTAGCAACCACTGAGGTCCGCCTACCCCTCCACCAGCCCTCCAGGAAATAACGGCAGGTGAGCTCAGAGGGAATGTTGGAGCACATTTTGAAAGCTCTAACTCACAGAGTCAGTTCCTCCACCACACCCTTGACTCCAACTTTTATCCAATGACCTCCCTGGCCATGGCACTGCCAGGCCTAAGTGCTACTATAAGTAGAAAGGCAAGAGTTGCTGTTTGCTACAGGTTACCACTGCCACCTCTACAAAAGGCCATGTCTTTCAAAAGTCCCTGTGTTTCCAGTTACTCTTCTAAGAGAGGCTGAGACATTATTCTCAATAAAACTCATTATAACTCATCCCTAACATTGTTAAGGCATGAGGTAACATTATTGGACACAGTTGCAGATTTTTCCACTCTTTCTTTCCTCTCTGCTTCCCAGCTCAGGCGGGTGAGATGGGAGACTGTAGAAAGGAGTTCAGCTGTCCCTAGCAGGAAAAGGTAGCATCTTCCTGACCCCGTGAATCTATTGTCAGCATCAGTTGGAAGAAAGTGAACGATACGGCATTTTTGTAATGGGAAAAATAACTTCACAGGAACTCAAAAGACCTGGCTTTGCCATGGATTAGTTATGTGACCTTTTGCCTCTATGAGTTTCAATTTCTTCATCTGAGAAGCTTGAACTAAATCTCTAAGGTCCCTTCTAAGAGTCTATGAGTGTCAAGTCCTGGAAAAATAGGGCATGACACTCATGGCCTGTTAAAAATATCTTCCCTAAGTGACTACTTATGGGTAGGAGGGATTTGGGGGGAACAGGGAAGGTGGAGTGATGACAACCTAAAATTAGATTTTGGCGATGGTTGTAGAACTCTGTAAATATACTAGAAACCACTGGATTATACACTTTAAATGGATAATTCTTTATTTTTTAAATTGTAGCAAAATACACATAACATTAAATTTAACATATTAGTCTTTTTTATATTTTCAGTTCAGTGGCATTAAGTACATTCACACTGTGCAACCACCACCACCATCCATTCACAGAACTCTTTTCATTTTGCTTCCTGAACCCATTAAGCACTAACTCCCCTTTTTCTCCCAACCACCTTTCTACTTTCTGTTTCTATGATTTTTTTACTACTCTGAATACTTCATATGAATACGATCATATGGCATTTGTCTTTTTGTGACTAGCTTATTTCACTTAGCGAACTGTCTTCAAGATTCATCCATGTTATAACATGTCAGGATTTCCTTCCCTTTTATGGCAGAATAATATTCCATTGTATGTATAAACCACATTTTGTGTCTTCATTTATCCATGGATAGACACATGAATTGTTTCTACCACTGAGTTATTGAGAAATGAGTGGATTTTATAATATGTAAATTAAATCTCATACATTTGTTAACAAATATATCTCCCCCATCTACCATGTAAGGGGTCTAAAATGGCTCCCATCTTAAGATCATTCCCGAAGGATCTTCTCAAGGAACCTCGTGAAGTTAAAGTAACTAAATGGAAGGATTACTTTCTGTGAGACCAGTAAGCTTTTATCATGTGGTTCTTTAGTTGATTATCTCATGATGCCATGCACTGACATTTACAAAGAATCAGACAGTAGGAAAATGTGATAAGAAGCAGAGATAGCCTTTGCCATCGCCATTCAGTTTTGCTGAAAGCTGGCCTGATCTGCAGGTACCCAGGACCCCAGACACAGTCTGGAGTTTCCCATCAAAGGGCAGCTGGAACCCTATGTGTCCTGGTCATGGCCCGGGGTAGGGGCCCAGTGCAAGGACAATCACAACTCTAACCATGCCTAAGGTTCTTCTTTAAGTCTTTTATTTAATTCTAGCCAATGTAAGAGTCACTTCAAAGGCTTAGTAAAATTATTCTAAACTTCCCATGAGAAAACTATGTGAAACCCTCTAACATAGATGGGGTCTCAGGAAACATTGATTCCGCCATGTGCAGTGGCTCATGCCTGTAATCCCAGTCCTTTGGGAGGCCAAGGCGGGTGGATCACCTGAGGTCAGGAATTTAAGACCAGCCTGTCCAACGTAGTGAAACCCTGTCTCTATTAAAAATACAAAAAAAAATTAGCCGGAGTGGTGGCA